GTGGTGAATTTGCCAATCTTGGTGTTCTCTGGCAAATGCCAACGTCCTGCACGGTGTTGGGCTGTAAGCACAACCCCCACCTGTGGACATCGGGCTCTCATACCACCCTCATGGAGTCTGTTTCTGACCGTTTGAGCAGCCACATGCACATTTGTGGCCGCTGGAGGTCATTTTGCAGGGCTCTGGTAGTGCTCCTCCTGTCCCTCCTTGCACAAAGGCGGAGGTGGTGGTTCTGAGGGTGGGTTGTTGCCCTCCTACGGCCTCCTCCACATCTCCTGATGTACTGGCCTGTCTCCTGGTAGCGCCTCCATGCTCTGGATACTACGCTGACAGACACAGCAAACCTTCTTGCCACAGCTCTCATTGATGTGCCATCCTGGATGAGCTGTACTACCTGAGCCACTTGTGGGTTGTAGACTCCGTCTCATGCTACCACTAGAGTGAAAGCACCACCAGCATTCAAAAGTGACCAAACCATCAGCAAGAAAGCATAGGAACTGAGAAGTGGTCTGTGATCACCACCTGCAGAACCACTCCTTTATTGGGGATGTCTTGCTAACTGCCTATGCTTTCCACCTGTTGTCTATTCCATTTGCACAACAGCATGTGAAATTGATTGTCAATCAGTGTTGCTACCTAAGTGGACAGTTTGATGTCACAGAAGTGTGATTGACGTGGAGTTACATTGTGTTGTTTAAGTGTTCCCTTTATTTTTTTTGAGCAGTGTACATATATATGTGTGTGTGTGTGTGTGTTTTCTTAAGTTTTCGCGGGTATTTATATGTATGGTATTCAGCTTTGTTCGGGTATTTTCCCACGTCATTATAGTTGTGCTTTTAAAGTTGTAGCAACGTTTTGGCAGAATCTCATCTGCCATCATCAGGCTTCTGTATTGTGTTTGTCCGTGAGTCAGACTTTCAGATTCCGCCTGGTATTCTTTTTCTCAATTACATTATATATCATCTGTTTATTTCAAAAATATTAATCTATTCAATTAATTTTAAAAACTGATAATAGTCTTTCCATTACAATTCTCATAACACATTTTAACTTTATTCATCGCTTTATTAAATATCAATTAATATTTTATAATAAATCCCCACTTCCATATCTATTTCAATTAAATCTATATCTAGTTTAACAATTATCCTTAAAGAAAAATATGTTCCAATGTTTTCTATTTTTAAATCTATATTCTGAAATATCACAACACATTACCTTGCAGAATCCCCTTTCTTGTTCTTCTTCTATCCATTGTATCTCATTCTCCTGACTTATAATTCCTTTTCATTTTTGTTTGCTTTCTGTCATTTCCTGTCATTTTCTGGTTCTTTCTCTTAGTTCCCTTTTTTTCCTTTATTATTTCCCTCCATTTCTTATGCCAGTTATTTATTTTGTCTTCCTCCCTCTCTTGATCTTTTCTCTGTAGTGCCCTCTTCTGCTGTTTCCTTTTCCTTTGTTTAACTTTCCAAACAATTCCCTCTTTAATTATCACTTCAAACCTTAAATTTTTAGCTTTAATTCTTTTTTTCCCCATTTTTTCCCATTTTCTCCCCATTTTAATGTCCGTTGTTTCACTTTTTCTTTAGAGCTGGTTTCTCCTTTGTTTAACTCCTCCTCCTCTTCTTTAGTTCTTCTTTAGTCTGCATCACCATTTCTAATTTTTGTAGTATGATACTGTACATTTCCAAGCTTTCATCATTTCCCTTATGTTTTGTAGTTCCAATCTTATTTCCACACATAATTCTCCCATTTTGTGCACTTCTTTTTTTCCCTTTCTTTAATATCTATATCAAATCCAATTATCCAGTAGTTTATTTCAACCCTCATCTTTTATATTTAATTTCAACAGTCAATGTCCATAAATCTTTATTTCCAGGTTCCTTCTATTGATTTCTTTTCCAATTTTTCCCAGAGTCAGCAAACAATCCCATGGCAATTTCTTCACATATCTGTTTTTTCCTTAGAGTATTCTAGTATTTCACTTTTCAGGGTTTTTATTATAATGGAATTCCTCTTATTTCATTTCAAGTTCCAATTTTAAAAAGACCAAGCACTTTTCAAAGAGTCACTGAAATTTTTCCTTTACTATTAGGTGGCACTCTCAATTCTGTTTCCACATTCCACCCTTTTTTTTTTTTTTCACTTTTTCCTATATTTTAAGCTTTTATTAATTTTGCTAATTCCAATTATTAGCTATTATTTCTTTTTAACATGTTCCACATTTAATTACGCCTATTAGTGTCAAAATCCAGATAATTATCCAATTTACTTTCCAAGTCTTGTATAATCAAATGTCTTCCTCTGAGTTTTCCACCTGCAAATTAAATCTTTTCAAAATCCAAAGTCAATTTCACAAGTTTCCCATTTTCTTCTCTCTCTCTCTCTCTGGTTGCTGCTTCTACTATCATTCGTTAAAAAATTATTTGTTTCTTAATTCTGGGATACCTGTAATATCCATGTATTTCACCTGGCCCACACACCACTCACAGCTTCACTGCTCCAGGAGAGTCTTCGTTTCCTGCACTGTCTCCCATCTTCATAGTGGCCATTTTAGACCACCGCTGCAACTCGGAGGGGGTTTACCTTGTCAGGGAGGGAATATGCGGCTCCCCTCAACCCTCCAGGCAGTCCTCCCTTTCTTCACCACCCCTACAGGGTGGTTCCGGTCCTAGTTGGGACCTCCAATGAGCAAGCGCAGAGCGAAACCATGCACAATCGCAGATTCTACTCCAACCCAACAGGAGCACAACCGGAAGTCCTACTGAAATTATTCTTAGCCAGGTTAACAGAGCATGATCTTATTTTCCTGTAGTAAAGAAAAATCATTGGGAAGACAAATTTGACATCAGCAACAATATCCACCATCTTTCCTCAAGTTCATCACTTCTCAATTTTTCAAGTTAGAACTGAAAAAGACTGTTCAGCTAATATTGATCTTATTGTGATCCAGTGGCATTCTAGGCTTCCTCAATTCAATTTCTTCAATTTAAAGAAAAACAACATAATAAAAGGTGCTTTTAGTATATCACTATTCTGTATTTTTGAAATTTAAATTTGGGAGAGATTAATGTTGTGAGAACTAAAGCTTCACACAGGCAAGTTGCGAAAGCAGATTGCAATGAGAGAAGGGGAGTCTGGGCAAGTATTTATATACCCCAAATACATTCCAGCAGATATAGATCAATAACATGTGATTTATTATCTCAGACTTCTTGATAATAAAGTAGAAATGAATGGCATAGACTCTATATTTAGCAAATTGCAAAAATAAAAGCCAGAAAAGAAATGGCATAATGTAAAAAAGAGATACATATCACACAAAATTATTGGGATTTAGTTTTCAATAAAAAGGCAGTGTGTTGTGCACTAACTTCTCTTGCAATCAAATAAAATTGATAATTGAGTAATCTCAGTAATTTAAGTAAACTTAAAGTTTATTGAATTAGATGAATATTAAAACCCCATTAATTGAATCAAATATTGTGTGTAGTTAGTAAAGTCAGAATGTAAAACAAAAAAGAGCTAGCTGGATTCTGATTAGCTCTATTTGTACTGAAATAGATCGTGTTACATTTCTGAGTTTAACATGGAAGGTTTTAAGTGTAAATTAAGAGAAATAAGATATTCCTTCAAAGGAATGTTGTGCCTAATAGACATTAGAACGGTCTTGACCCACCCATTCTCTCTCCCTCTCCCCCCTCCCTTTGGGCTGCTATGAGAATGTAAAGGAAAGAGAAAAAAAATAAGCTGCTTGGAAAAAGGAAGCTTAAGGAGCTTATTTAATTTAAAATCTTTAAATGGCAGAGGCTTCTATGGTCCATTTTCCAATCTGCAGTAGCCCATATATAGTATGTATATACGTATGTATATATAATTGATTTCTTCAATAATATGTTTACCTGCACCTTTTACCAATTGGGTGTGATTGGTCTAAGTCTGTAGCTATGGTTAGCTATTGAGGAATTTCCATGGTAGTATTGGGCCCAGTCTGCATTCTATTTAAAACCTTCTAATAACATGCCTAATCCTTACAAAGTGCCTTGTATGCACTTTTCTTGTCTTCATGGGCACCATTGTCTTCAAAAACTCTCCAGATGGCCTTAGCTAAATCATCCTCTTTTAGAACCTTCTCCTCTGTCCTTACAATGCAGGGATAATAGCAATGATGGGATTCAGCCGATTCTCACCAATTCAGGTGAACCAGTTGTTAAATTACACCCCTCCCCCTGCTATCAAAGTGGATCCTGGGGGCTGCACTGCAATAGAGAAATGAGTAATGGAGGAGGGAGAGGGAGTAACGGAGGAGGGGGAAATGAGGGAGGAGAAGGTCACTTTCCCTCTTTCTTCTCCCTACTCTTCCTCCTTCCATCGTGCTGGCTGGTCCATTGCCCATTTCTCCATTGCAGCACAGCACTCAGGATCCACTTTGATAGCGGGGAGGGGGATTTAACAACTGTTTCCCCTAGGGTCAGGTTGGCCATTGTGAGAGGATCAACCCACATATGCAATGGAGCTGGAGGATGGGTCTGGGCCATGCTTCCCACAACAGCCAACCTGACCCTGGGCAAACCTGGGCAAATTGTTAAATTATTTGAATCCTACCACTGGATAACATTACTGTCATAGCTGTGTGGCAAAACATATATGAAATGTCTAAAAGATTGGGAACGTCATATATCAATTTTAAATATTATTATATTGTCAGAATGGTTCGTTTTTTCTAAAATTATTTTAATATAAATCCAGTGTTTGGTGGAACCATCCCCAATACTTTACAATAGGTGGTGAACAGTATAGTATCATAAATACATATGCAAATATAACAACCCAGATATGCAATAACCTAGAAACCATTACTTTACGAATGGGGCTATTTTCCCTCTTGGTTCTAATTGACCTGGGACACTGTTAACTGGGCATAAGTGCATGAAAGGAAGACAAGGAGGAGTATCTACTAATAGCAATAACATTTAGACATGTTTCTGAAATTTTTACAGACAGTGAAAGTACAGGGGAATGATATTTCCCACAAGCTGCAGATCTCCAAAGTCAAGAAAAAGGATGAAGGATTGTATGAGTGCAGAGTGACGGATGCCAATTTAGGAGAGCTTCAAGAATATAAAGCCCAAGCTTATCTCAAAGTCAATGCAAATAGCCATTCCCGAAGAATGCAAGCTTTCGAAGCTTCCCCAATGTGGCTGCAAGATAAACCTCGCAAGAATATCTCAGCTGCCATCTCTAACAGCATCCATAATTCTGCCAGTCAAAGACCCACTTCTAATGCTCCAGCAGATGCCAAAATGCCTAAGCAAAGCCCACAATCAGGTATGAGCAACCATTTTGAACACTTTAAGCATATGACTAGCATGTAATTGAAACTCAAAGCAATGCTATTATTAGAGAAAAATGATGCTGTTATTTTATATCCTGCATAAAATTAGAAAATATTCTATACAAAAATCTTGGTATGCTTAATCCTTATAACCATGCAAAACAAAAATAAAAGCCTCATTTGGCATTATAAAAATCACATAATACAACTGACCTGTTATCCTGCATATCAGTTGTAGCCCATGGTAGGTCACTAGAAGTTTGATACATTTCGTTTTTCATACAATGGTATCCTTGTGGGAAGGGGCAGGGACAAAATAACAAACACCATTGTGATGTTGTAATATAAGTGCCAACCCATTATATAAGTATCAAGAAATTGTCATCACACCTCAGTGCTACTTTTGTTCATTCTAACTAACATAATAAACTTCTGCAGATACCCATCTTTGTATACCTTCTTAGGATTTAAGGAACCGAACAAAGAGTAGAAGGGGTACATAAAACAAATGACAATTAGTACACCTGAATAGCTTAAATAAAAGAAATCAAAATTATGATAAAAATATAAAATCCCAAACTGAAACGAGGAATTACATCCAAAGGTCCCTTAGAATATTCCTGATATTTCATTAGTATTGTTAATGTGGGGAGGACTATTGGTCTCTGTCATCCTCTTATTTTATACAGAAAATGATTCATTTTGAGCTTTGTCAGGATAAGTCCTTCTAGTGTGCTTGATTATCTTGCTTGATTATCTTGCTTATCTTTAAAAGACTCAAGCAGGAAATAAATGAAGGTTTGGAGGCTATATTTGGATTAGTGGGTCACAAGTTCTGAGTTCTGCTTAAATATTTCTTTATATGACTATCTTATCTAGAATTAAAATACCTCAAGCTTTATAATAAAGAAATACAATAGAGAGGAAATAGAAAATAGTCTATAAAATGTTACATTTTGATATGTGTTACATACAGTAGAACCTCTGGTCATGACCATAATTCGTTCCATAACTTTGACTGCAAGCCTATTTGGTTGTGATCCAAACCTAATTTTGGAAATTTGGTGCTTACAAAAAAAATGGCATGGAGGGGAAATCAGCCATAGAGGGAAAAAATGTGAATTTTTTTATCAGAACCCAATTTGGTCATGGTCAGAAGCGTTTGTGACCAGAGATTCTATTGTATATATTTAATATAATTTCTCTTGTTCTCATACTAGATTACTCCAGATGTCCTAAATGTCCTATTCAATTATATGCAAGTTGTTGTTTTTTCTTCATCTGGTCAAACAGTAAAGAAAGTTTTATCACTCAACAAAATTTCAGATGCCTTTGCTAGCTAAGGATAATGAAGGGTCATTATAGTAGCCGAGCTATGATTAAATAAACTCATCAGACAACTTCTTACCAAAATCCTCAGTCTCCATCTTACCCCAGTATAATATTGAACAATAATACTAATCCTGATCATATAGAATTGTTGGAAAAATCCATAATAAAATAGGTGCTTGAAATATTTAAAAGTGCTATAAACTTAATATTGTTTATCACTGTCATTAAAATTATTTCCATTGGTTAGAAAGACAATCAATGTTATATAGTTAGGCATAAACATGTTGTAATAAGTTTCCAGGATGGAATAAATTGCACAGATAGCATCTGGAGTTCCCTCATGGGTATATTCTAATGAAAATTAGACAACCTTGTGTCCAGAATATTTTAACATGGACTAAGCAGATTAAATGGCTTAAATAGCTCCTTCCAATTCCACTATTCTGATTGAATACTATGATTTCATGACTGATGAATAATCCTCATTCTAAATATGTGCTCAGCATTTAATTTTCTGTTCAGCAGAATATTAGAAGTATTAGACATGACTAGTTTGGGAAAGCTTCTCAGTCTCATACACACACACACACACACACACACACACACACACACCACTGTTATAAGCTTCCAAAATTCAAGGCTTCCTTGGAAGATAATATGTATATTTCATATACTCTTTATAAGATTAAGTGTATTCATAAATGGATAGCTGCATATGAAATGAAATACCTGAACTTTTCCATGATCAAAGCTATGAAATTGTGAAACTTTAAGCAGATTTTCAAATTTTCATCTTTGTAGGAAGAAAAACATAATCCCACATTGTACTGGAATATGATCCTAGAAAGTAAAAGGCTGGAGGATCTTGCACAGAAACTCTTTCCATTACCTTCTCATCCCCACTCCTGCTTAGAGTTCTTGTCTTTGTAATTCCTGCCAGTACCATCCCCAAACAGATAGTCCTTCTGTCTCTATTATTCTAGGACTTTGGGATTGTAATGAGTTAATATTCAAGTTTCTGGAGGAATGGATGGTCCTTTCCCTAGTCTTGTCCTCAGATTCCTCTGACAATGCCTTGAGTTCTGCCTTCAAATGTTTTCTTTTAAAAAAATTATATTTTCTTGTTCTGAGAGAATGACAGATATTCCTCATGTTTACGTGACCAACAATCTCTTTTTCTTGTAGGAAATATCAATTATATATCTATACCTATTTAGTAAGTAGATTAGCACTTGTGAATGCCAGAAGTCAGTCTGTTAATTTCACCATATTCAAAATATAGATTGAATTTTGTTGCTCGGGATTTGCTTGATATTTTTTTTCCAAATATATGCATAGTATTTTTTTATTTTTATTTATTTATTTATTTTGATTTGTCAATTGCTTACAAGATAATAGGTATAAGTATATACATAGTTATGAATACATGAAATGGGTACATATAAGAAAAATAAAAGAAACAATAGGACAGGGACAGTAGGCACGTTGGTGCGCTTATGCATGCCTCCTACAGACATCTTAGGAAAGGGGTGAGGTCAATAGTAGATAGTCTACGGTTAAATAAAGTGTTTGGGGAAGAAACCACAGAGTCAGGTAGAGTATTCCAGACATTGACCACTCTGTTGCTGAAGTAGTATTTCCTGCAATCAAGTTTGGTGCAGTTAACCTTGAGTTTGTATCTATTGTGTGCTCTTGTGTTGTTATGGTTGAAGTATTCATTGACAGGTAAGTCATTGCAATGTATGATTTTTATATACCATACTTAGATTGGACCGAAGACTGTGTAATTCAAGATTTTCTAGGTCTAGAATTTCAAGTCTGGTGGCATAAGATATTCTGCAACAAGTAGAGGATTGGAGAATGCTTCTTGTGAAATATTTCTGGACTTTCTGAACTGTGCTAATATCAGATACGTAATGTGGGTTCCAGACTGATGAGCTGTATTCGAGTATTGGTCTAACAAATGTTTTGTATGCTCTGGTTAGTAGTGTGATATTACAAGAGAAAAAGCTATGTAGGATTAGGTTAACAACTCTTAATGCCTTTTTGGCTATGTAGTTACAGTGGGCTTTAGCACTTAGATCATTAGAGATGAGTATTCCAAGGTCCTTGACAGAGCTTGGATCATCAACAAGGTCTTGACTATCCAGCTTGAATTTTATTTTCTGATTTTTTTTTGCCAATATGTAAGACAGAGCATTTATTTGTTGAGATTTCAAGTTGACATTTGTTTGACCATTCTGATACATAGTCAAGATCTTTTTGAAGGGTAGCAGTATTGTCTGTGGTATTGAACAGCTTTACATCATCAGCGAAAAGAACACAGTTGCTCTTAATATGATCACAGAAGTCATTTATGTAAAGTATGAAGAGAGTTGGTCCTAAAACACTGCCTTGGGGGACACCACTATTGACAGGTACATTTGTTGTCTGTTTGACAGGAATGCTTCTATCCAGTTATGCAGTTGTCCAGAGATACCATAAGATTTTAGTTTTAGGAGTAGTTTGTCGTGTACCACTGAATCAAAGGCTTTAGAGAAGTCTATGTAGATTGCATCTATTGTTTTGCCCTGATCGAGTTGTGTAGTCCATATGTTTTTGCAATGTAAGAGTTGCAGATTACAGAATAGTTTTTTTCTGAAACCAAATTGTTTATTAGAGATTAGGTTGTTTGTCTCTAAATGGAGGATAATGGATTGGTTAATAATTGATTCCATGACTTTACAGGTGACGCAGCATAAGGAGATTGGTCTGTAAATTTCAACTAGGCTTGGGTCTCCCTTTTTGAAGATGGGGATGACTGTGGCTTGTGACCATAGATTAGGCAAGGAGCTGGTCATGAAAGATTTTTCAAAGATTATGCTTAGAGGTTCTGCTATGGCAGTGGATAGCTTTTTAAAGAAGTAGGCACATATTCCGTCTGGCCCAATAGTTAAAGATGGTTTTAGATTGTGTAGTGCTTTTTCAACATTGTCTTCTGTAAAATCGATATGTATTAGATCATTGTAGTTTTCTGTGGTTCAGCTAGGAAATACTGGGCATGATCCATTGCTGTTTACAACTACTGAGCCAAAGAATGTGTTAAAGATATTGGCTTTAATGGTGTCTTCGTTGCAGTCTTTACCATTAGGTCCTATCAGGGGTGGGATGGACCTTGAGTCTTTTAGTTTGTTGTTTACAAAATTGTAAAAAGCGTGGGTGGAATTGGTACGTAGAATGTTTTCCTCTTGTTTAATGTGATAATTGGTGCATTCAATCTTTATCTGGTGGCATAAATTTTTGTATTGGCTTTTGAAGTTGGCAAGATGACCAGATTTGTTTTTCCGCCAGAGTGATCTCTTTTTGGATTGAAGTTTCCTTATTGTTATGGGTAATCTGTTTTTGTGTGTGTGTGTGTGGGAGTTGTTATTGGTACATATAGTTTGATGACTCTTTTGACTTCAAGTAAAATATGTTGTAATGGTCTTCAACAGTATTGCATCCAGTGAATAGAGATTGCCAATCAAGGGATGAGAGATCGTTGACTATAAGATCATAGTTGCCTTTTTTGAAGTTACAATTGGGGGTTACATCATTGTGGTGATTTTTGTGTGGGCGTATGTTGAGACAAAAGTCAATCATATTGTGGTCACTGTTGGAAAAGGGTTCTTTAGTTTGTATT